AAGGGCAAAATCGTCTTTTTAAAAGGCTTTTAACAAAAAAACGGGTACGGATGTAAACAGAAAAATAAAGCGGGTACAGATTAAAATGAGGCGACCAAATAGGGTGCCCCATGCAATTTTTACTCCAAAAATCTAAGCTCAACACTATCAAAATCATGGGCCGAGCTGGGCCAGACCAGCAGGCGAAGCTCATATAACGGTTCTACTGAATCTACTAAATTTTACGTTTGATGCTTTATGTATTTAGACGGTATTGGAATTACAATCGACTTTGGATGCCCAAAACTTGGTTGTGAATTGAGGTGAAAACAATCGTTTTTATCGATAAATCTCTTTGAAAAGATCATTTGACGTAAGCTTTGTCCAAGGTGTCAAACCTTGGACTCACCATGATTTGTTACTCTTGTTCACTTGTTTGTGTTCGAATAGGTAAGGGTTTTGGCTTCTTTCTTCCCCCAACCTAATTAGGACAAGAAAATATACTTTTAGGAATAACATATTTGGCCAATTTTCTCCAAGGTCATAAGTTTTTCTTTTTAAAATTTAACGTATTTGGCTAAGTTTTTACGAGGAAAAAAAATAATTTTGAGTAGAAATATAAGTTATTTTTAGAATGTTAAAAAAATTAGCTTCTCCGAAAAAGCGAAGCAAAATATGTTTTAAAATTTTCTCTTGGAAAATATCCTTAATAAGAAATCATAATATTTAGTTATTTAAATGCAATTCTCCTAATATATATAAGTATTTTTTTATTTTTAAGATAACTTTTTTTTTAATATATGGTTAATTTTGAGGTGAATAATTTCATATTTGTTAAATGATATTTTGTTATCTTTAAACCACTGAAAGAATAAAGTACCTTTAAATTTATTTTCATATTTTACTTAATAAAAATTAAAAAATTAATTAAAGTCTTTTATAATAAATATTTGAAATGTTTTATCTACCTCTATTATATTAATTATAAAGTAAATCTTTTCATGTTCTTATTCATAATTTGACACTTAAAATGCACTTTTTGAAAAGGTTAGCCAAATACAAATTGTTACTCAAATTTATTTTTTAAATTGGTTAGCCAAATATAAACTATTTTTTTTCAAAAGTCCTTTTCCGAAAAATATTTTTTTAAAAATACTTTTCAAAGTAAGTTGATTTTAGAAGTTTGACTTTTAATCGACGACAAAAGTAGGATAGGTTGACAGCTAGCAGAAATTCTACAGTTTGGCATTGTTTGGTTTTGGTGGTCGTTTTATTGTCTAAAGTGGTGGTGGCAAAATGGATAAAAGAAAACAATTATCCACCCATATTATCCATTAAAAAATGAATTGGTTAATGAACATTTTAAAAACATGTTGAATATGGATAAGAATAATATTATCCATTTAGAAAATGGATAACCAATAGATAACTAATGAGCTTAACTTTTATATTTGTAAAGCCTTAAATTGGGGGTTCCTAAGTTTAGAAGACTAGTAATTCTCCCAAAAGTAATGATATTCAATAAGCCATGAATAATATGGATATCCATATTATCCGCCGGTGAACCCATTTTTTATTCGTATAAAATATGGATCAAATTGAATAATTTATCCATTTTTGTATTACCTATTTTCGATCCGTTCCATATCCGACCAGACCCGACCCGTCCGTTTGCCACCCCTAATTTGAAGGCAGGGATATTGAAGTCTCGTCCTCCAACAAGTTGAGGTTATATGTTTTTAGGCACTCAAGGGGGAGATATTCGAAATCTCGCCCTACAACAAGTGGAGATTTTAATTTCTTCTATTTAATTTGATCTACTTCGGTCAAGTCGATTTCTTTTCTAGACTTCGGTCCCTCTTATATATTGTTTAGAGTTTTAACACATTTATAAAAAAATTATTACTACTAGTATTAATCATAATAATATTTGACTAAAATCTCTTAGCTTTTCCATAACGGAGTAATTAATTACTATATGCCTTCTTGGAGTGGTACGGTCAAAATGGAAAAAAATATTAGTAGTTTTTAAAAGGGACATATATCTAGAGCCAAATTAAATTGTCTCTCCTAGTACGTACAATGACCATTCGTACTCACAATTCATTACTACCTTCATTTCATATTCTCCAGCCTTTAAGGTTCTTGCACCTTCTTAACAAAGACTAATAACCCTATAAAGTATTATCCAAATTATTATTTTTTGTTAAATATCTTATTTAATTGACACTCTACTGATTAGAACAGTATGGTAGATTAGAAAAAGAATAATAAATGACTTATCACTTCTCTAAATAGAGAAACAAATAGTCCATCCGTTCAATTTGTTTGAACTTTCTTGGAGTACAAAGGTCAAATTAACTAATTTTCAGTGTGAATTCGGACATAGGTTCTTTAAGTAGTTTGAAATAATATTTACATATTTAGAAACTACATAAGAAAATACTATGAATCATAATAGTTAACCATTCAAAATATTTAAAAATATTTGTGAAAAGTTTGGTTAAAAAAAGTCTTATTTAACTTCCAATAGTACAATGTTCATTTTTATTTTTTGAAACGGAGGGAATACAATTTATCAAAATACCAAATATTTATGATAGAAGGAGAATGAGAAAGGAAAAAGATAATGTCTCACGGATAGGGGAGCACGAGTGATCAAGCTTCTCCCCGCACAGGTCCCCATATAGGCAAACACCCGACGATATATTCGGAATCTACAATCATTACGTTGAGGGTAGATAAAGACACTCCTCTTAATTACACCACCAATTCAATTTGAGATGCCTATGGCGTTCACACTTCACATGATGTGGAGCTATCGAGCAAGCCTTAGCGTAGCATTTCGCCGTCAACATCATACGCTGAGTGTGTCAATAATTTGAAAAAAGAGTAGCGAGTAGCGACATATATGCCTGTTTTGGCTATTTCTACAAATAGTATGTGGGCATAGTTTAATATGCACGCCTTGGCCTTGCCAGTTTGCCACGCTTGTCAGTTGCGAGGTTGGGTTTTTGTTAGCACGACCTTACTTACATGCCTATAAAGCTTACTCCATTATATACTGCTAGGCTGCTACTTCTACTTACATTTACATTTCCATTTCCCCTTCTCTTTATTTCTTAATTCTACCTGCCGTAACTGATAGTGGTAATTCCATTCTCCACGCCAGAAGTTAAATGGTGTGGGTCCGCGGATGAAATATTGCAATTCAGTGAATATGGTAATGTTAAGCTATTTAAACCATTGAATAACAAAAACAAAACTAAATCTAGGGGTTGAGGGTTTAGAAACGATGCACCCATTTTCTTATAAGGAAAATGTCCAAATTTGTCTTTGTACTGTTTGATATAGTTTAATTTTGTCTTCCATTAGACTTTTGGTTCATTTATATCCATGTTGGTTAGCAAATTATCTTACTATTAATAGAGGTCTAGCATGAAATGAATAGATAACTCCTAATATCCAAATTCTTCGCGAAGAAAATGCCGAATTTAACAATCAACTTTTGACTATGATTTTTAATTACTCTCATATTAAAGCACCATTAAGGGGTGAAGGATAAAAACTAGAATTTTCCCTACTGGAAGAGGATTATAAAATTAGGTCATAAGTCTAATAGATGACAGTGTTGATAAATTTCGAACTGTATAAGATCAAACATGCCCATTTTTCCTATCTTATACTCCCTCCGTTTCATATTAGATGACGTACTTTCCTTTTTAGTCTGTTCCAAAATAAATGGCACACTTATAAATTTGGAAATAATTCAACTTTAAACTCTTTATTTTACCCTTAATGAGAAATTTTTATAACGACACAAATGTCATGGCCCCACAAAGCTTTTACCCCTTAAGCTTTTAAGACCACAAATTTCAAAAGTCTTTTTTTTTTCTTAAACTCCGTGCCAAGTCAAACTAACTCATCTAAATTGAAAAGAAGGGAGTATGTATAATAATCTTAAACTTCAGTGAGTGTAATGAAGGTTACATGAAGCAAATTACAAAATGTGTGTCCAAAATTTACTTGCACATTGTGCAAAATAATTGTCAAATATTCTTAAAAATTACTCCATCATTTCCAAAGAGTGGACTTCTTTATTCACAATTGAGACGGTTGATGAATGTTTACTAATGTCAGCAGTAAAGAGGGAATTATGCCCGCAGTTTCCAGTAAGCACAAGTAGAACAGCTAACGAGAGATTCTGTGAGCTTTAACAATGTGTTTCATAATTTCTACAGACTTCTAAGGTTTCATTAATTAGATAGAATAAACGATTTCCTATGCTTGGAAGAGAGTCCCTAATGCTTTTTGTTGGTGGGTGAGACCTTTTGCTACCTTGTGGAGTCAACACCAAACCCTCACTTTGGACACTTTTGAGACATACCAAATAAAAAAGTATTTTTTTTCTTTTTAAAGAATGTGTAATTAGTTAAACTTAAAGTCCAACTATAAGTTTAAGATTGAGATGATAATTATTTATTAATGTTTTCTTTTTTTAACTCATTGAGAGAGAGGGAGGAACCGGAGAAAGGAGAATTGGAAGGAAGAGAAGAAGAGAAGATTAATACATACACTCATTGACAGTGACGATAACGCCAAACATTAACAACTTACAATAATAATTACACCTAAATAGTTAGTAAGTTACGGCCGACTATATAAATTCTCACTATCATGTTACTCCATAAGCCCGTCTCAATCAATATTATAGAAAAAATAATTGTTCTAGCACTAGAAGTTTTTTATATTTTTACTGATATATCGCTAAAATCTTTTTAGCATTTCTTATACATAAAATTAACGTACTAGCATGACTAAAACTTAGTTCTAAATAATTGGCATATCCCAGCTAAAACTAGCATGACAAAAATAGACTCATTGCACCCCCACATTTTATTTTGAAGAAAAAAAACACATCAATATTGATATAAGCCAAAATTGCAAATAGTTAGGCCGCAACTTCAATTTGGACAGGATGATATTATAGTATTTGCAAAAGATGAATATCCTTCTCTCTTTTTGTACAACTAATTTGTGTTTTGAGTTGGGAGTTTTGTCAGTTGGGGACCTCAATTGGTTATGCTCTTCTCACTCGACAGTACTGAATAAGTAGCCAGTCTATCTCTTATGGTCATAATTCAGCCACAATCTTTCTATCATCCTTCCCCTTTTTCTTCCTATCATATCTTTTCATTAGTATTTGACTGCCATTTTGTTTCTCCCTCACAATACAAAAACTTATCCCCCTTGTGTCCACAATGGCCAGAATTAGACTACTCTTACTCCTCCATTACTTGCTCTTCATCTTACTTTCTTCATCTGCACTTTTGCAAGGTCGTCACATTCACTAGTAATTGCATACGTTTGTTTCTCATTCGAATACTTAGATATATAATATATAAACCCCTGAATTTTCCATTAATATGTTTTCATTGCAATTGCCGCAGGGTCAAGAATTCAAGCCATAATTCCTCACTCTCAAAGGGCCTATCAAGCTTTTCCGTATGAGGTAGGAAAAACATTCTTTCTTTCTTTTTTTCTGTTTTTTCTTCAAGTGTGAATTCAATTGTATTGTTTGTGAAAAAGGCAAAAAGATGGGTGAAAAAGAATTCAAGAAGGTTGATGATAGGATCAGTGGCACCAACGTGCACTTACAATGAATGCAGAGGATGCAAGTACAAGTGTAGAGCAGAGCAAGTCCCAGTGGAAGGGAATGACCCAATGAATAGCCCTTATCATTACAAGTGTGTTTGTCACCGCTAATTCTGCTTTGTCAGAACATAGAGCCAGCAGCCTTCCAAAAAGAAACGTTACTTTGAAATTTTCATCAATTTACCATTTCTGGTCTTGTGAGAGTTTCAATGTTCTTTTTGAGGTTGGGTTGCTTGAATTTTGGTTTATATCGAGTCTTTTGTCTACTGCCTATAGTGTAATTCTGGTTGGGTGAATGTGATTGTATCAAATTTTGTATTTTGAGTAATGCCTTTTTTCTTCAAATGGAAAGAGATTTTTGCATGTTTGTTTTTCCACTTATATATATATTTGTATATATGTATTTGTTACTGCGCCAGTTGCAGAATGCAGAGATACCTTTGGGCTCAGAAAGGCTGAAGCAAATGATATAAAAGTGCAGTATAAATATAAGTTGCGCTAGTATCAAAAATATCTTCCAAGTAATGAGCAATGATATATGACATTTCTCTCCTTTTCTTTTATTCTTTCTGCTAGATTAAAAGAGATGGGGAAGACGCATATCTAATTGAGTCAAACAGTCGGAGTATCTTGTATACAACAACTATGCCTCATTCTTAGACTTTATATTGTGAGAAATCAACATGGTTAATTTTATGCTTGTTGTCGGCCTACTTGTTGTCAGCCTACTGCAGTTCTTCTCCTTTATTCGAACTTGAGACCGACAATATGAGCAAACTCATATCGGCCGCAAAGTCTTTGTTTGAATATTTTAAATTTTGGACATTGGAGAAAAGAAACAAGCAAGTAGAAGTTAACAAAACTATTACATAAACCTTAAAAATAGCACGAGTGTGATGTACCAAGGGGTTTGGAGGGAAGGGGAACCTTGGAAGGGTTTAGAAGAAGCAAGAAAAGAAAGAACTGCAAGTGGCACATGGAAGTGGTCCCAAAAATTCGAATCTGGTTTCGAATAGGTCACATGGGGCAATATTTGTAAGCATTTGTTCATGGCAGAAGATATCTATAAGCAAATGTAGGACCTTGCCCCCAAATTAAAACCCTATTTTCATACGTTTCTTCTGATTTCCTAGCGTAAAGAAAGTGACTTGTGCGCCCAATTGTGAATTGTCACGGCCGATAGGAGAAAAAAAGGATATGCTCAAGCTGATTTCCAAGAATTCTAGCAGCTACGAGAGGACAATATAGCAAGAAAAGCCAATTTGGTACGTCATAATGCATTTTCCATGCACCACATGACTAAGAGATGTGGTGCAAGAAATATATATTTCTTCATCCTTAGTCAGTGGTCTCTGATTCGAGACACGAAAATAGAATTTTTTTTATAGAGAGCTCTTACCTCTTTAGCGAGCCTATTTTATGTAAATCCAAGTTAATCGGATTAGTAAATTTCGGATACAAGATATCTAAAGCAAAAAAATAGAAAAAATCATTCTGCATGGCATGACTTTGGGTGCAGCGGAACATGGCCAACTTTCAAATTCATGATGTGTCTTTCAAATCGTGTCAATACAAAAAGACATTTCTAGATTCCTTCTCATTCCTCAAAATTTCTATGTAGTATGGTCAAGCCTAGGTATACAAAACTCACCATTTGAATGATACTTCATATCATCTCCTCTTACTGCTGCTGCCTGCCAAGATGGGCTGCATCTAAAATTCACTATTTGAAACTGTTATAGAAAAAGGACAAATGTGTCTCTCGATTACGAGAAGCATTTACCAAAAATGTAAACAAGCTTACTTCTTACATAGTGTAAAATAATTGTTGAATTAGACTCGAATTTTTATCGTTCTTATTGCCTTGCTCACTAAGACATATAGCATGTATATAAGATAGTAACATTAGGGAGTGAGTTAGTGGTTCATGAGGTGGGAATAATTCAGGAAAGATTCGATTTAAATTTCAACAGACACAAAAAAGGGTTAGTATTTAATTTAGAGAGAAGATAGTAATGCGAATATTATTTCTCATAGAATGTTTAGTTTGATATATTAAAAACTAATATATAGCTTAAAATATGTTTTATTTTCTAAACAAAATAAAGTTTGTTAATTTTGAGGGTTAGTTTGGTCATTTAATACTTTAATCTATGTATTACTAATACCTGCATAAAATAATACATATATTTCCACGTAAGTTATGTTGGTATTATTTATTAGGAAAACAAAAGTAGCTACCAAACATTGTGTAAATTAATGTTAGTTTCTATGCGGAGATTAAATCTCCATAAACTCCAACCAAATAACACCTTTTAATTGATTTATTTTCATCAACCTAAACCTTTGGTAGAGAATTATCTGATAATGCTGAGGCCTTAAAGGAACAGGTGCCTAGTGAATGAGTAAAGTAGAAACAAATTGACCTGAACACCATTATTATAAAAAACAAAAATAACATTTAATCTTGAACGGCTCGAAAGCGTAGCCAAAAAATTCACGTGAATAGTTGCACCAATGATTGCCAAAATAGTGGAATTCTTTTGCTTATATGCGTAGAGGGCTCATTGAAGATGTGTCAAAGGTAGGATTCCCTGATAGGAAAGAGATGTGAAACAGAAGTGACCCAAGACCTGAAGACCCTCGTCTCCTTGATTTGGGTGTGGGACATGCGATTTGGCCACGAGATCATAATCATAAAACTTATCATTGCTTTATATATGTTCCTCCAAGACTATATGGCACGTTGTTTCCCAAAGTAACGAAATACGAAGAATGAAAAAAAAAAGCTTTAATTGATCAAAATGAGATAAAATTCATCTTTTTCTTTTTATTGGTCAAACTGCGTAAAGGAGTATTAATCCATTCGCCTGGCGCTATGATGTTTACCCGTAAAACGGTATAGCTGAATTTATATAGCGTGATTTATAGACAATCGAATCGATTTGACCCAAAAATGATAAGTAAATGAAAACAAAAATAAGATTATCAAATGAAATTGAAAGAGGTAACAAGCCTGACTAAGAACTTAGTCTTTCCGATGACAAGAGTGAATGCAATGTTCAAGTGTTCAAATTGAGCGCAAATAGACAATAGATTTAACTTTTTGTATACAAAGTTTCTTGTGTCTATAATGGTTGTTAATCCTTCTATTTATAGCCCTATTTAGGGGGACAAGATCCTTAAATCAAGCTCCTCTTGAATGAGAATAAAATCGTTATTGATGGGTGCATAACGATTGGCTTTAAATGCAGATATTTTCTGTAACGGATATCCATGGAATGTTACCCGATGACAATGTTGCAAATCCTTGTTACCGGCTGCTCTGTCTTTGGGACTTGTTCTGCATTGATTGCTCGCTTGCCCCCGGTGACAGCTGTTTGCTGATTCACATCCCACCTGTCTTTAGTTTCACGTGTCACTCCGTCATTCGCCCAGCTGTCATCGACCAGTTTTACCCCATACAGATAGTCCCCCTACTTTTCGGTGAAATAACATTATGTTACCGGGAAGTAGATAAGAGTTCCTTTCTTGGCGGCAAAGTTCCTGAACGGTCTCTGACATTTGAAAGGACGCATGTCTTCTCGCAATTAATGTCCCGAACACCTGTTGCCCTTTGATTTAACAAATATTTTTGCCGATTTTCGAGATAATCATGACCGCGAGTTTTTCCGCCTATAACTTCTCTACTCATCATTTTCACTCTTTACTTTCACAACAACTTCTTCTTCTATTAACTTCCTTAGAGCTCTTCTGCAATATTCAATTTTCTCAGTAAAAAGATTTCCTCATAAACATGTCTTCTAACATTGCTAACTCCAGAAACTCTAGCCTTCTCTTTGGCTGAGGTCCAAAGAAGAACAAAACCAAAGAGGTTGACGTTGAGTCTGAACCTCCAACTGTAAACACCATTATTACACTTTATCCCAGCACGACATTCGACCTTCAAGAGCATAAACTACCCGTAAATTCTAAAAGTGATAGGTTTTGGCCTATTCACAGATACCTTTTTTTTATTCGTCCTTCTAGCGTCCCTGCTGTGAAGGAAAAATGTAACTAAGGTAGCATTGAAATTTTCACCCCCGATGCGATTGAACGAGTTACCTACTCCAATACGAGGTTCATGTATGTCTACACATACGCCTTCACATTGGGTCCTTTCACCTTGGGAGTGAGTGAAGGAATCGACCAAATAATTCTAGAATTTTGCCACCAGTATCAAGTTTTCTTGGCACAGGTGGGCCCATCCATATGGTGTACGGTGGCCTGCCTCTGCTAATTATGCGTTGAAACCAGGGAAACCCTAACTCTTGCACATATGATGAACCTTTACTCCCCGAAGATTTTTCGAGGGGGTGTGCTGAATCTCAGCAAACGTGGCCACCATGCCCTTCTTACCAGTGTTGACAATGACAATGATCATGGATGGATGAAATAGTTTGCTGCCATTGCTACCAGGAATATCATCCCGGTCACAACACTAGCTTTTCCTGAACCGTGGAACCTTTTCCGTAAGTCTTTGGGTATTTGTCTCCTTTATTTGTGAAAAGAAAAAACTTGCTTTTTTGCTAACTTTTTATTTCCTTCGTTCAGCTACTCATTGGAAACCACCGCGGGTTCAGGGCCTAGACCGATAGGTACAGAAAATTCTTGATATCACTATACTAGAATCCTAGCGGTGGAAAGAGATGGCTCCCAAGTATGGGTGGAAAGTTAAGAATCACGGTAAGAAAAATTTCTTCTTTCTTTCAATTTTAACAACTTTGGAACAATTTGTTAACTGTCTTTTGTTCCACACAGAACTTCTGAAGGGTTCTGTCATGTGCCTCGACATCGATGCTCTTGATGAACCTGATGAGGCCGAACTGGTATTGCAAAGTTCCCTTAGCCGGAGCAGGGATCGCTGATCTACTCGTTCTTCTAGTGAGGGCGCCTCCTCCCGGAGTCCCCAGGTCAAAAATAAGAAACCAAAGATGAAGCATACCTCCTTGATTGGGACTCAGGAGAAGAGAGTTTGAAGATCATTAACCGGACCAATCACAGTGTTCATTGATGATGAAGAAGGGTCCAATGATGAAGACGCCCTCTTCAAAAAAGAATAAGGTCTTCATCAGCTCAACCGCGGTTGAGAGAGCTTCAAAATCCATCGCCTGAAGAAGTTCAAGCACTCTGGGGGGAATGAGTTTAGTTGAAAATGTCGACTCCCATTTTTTGATTCTTGCCGACATTTCCAATCAGAGGAGTTCAGCCCCTGACCATCCTCATTCGCCAACTACTGAGCCAGCCACAACTACCACTCCTTTTACACCATCTGTTTCTTCTTCATCCGCATCAGCTGCTCCTTATCCACCAGCGCCAGTTGCTTCT